GAAAAAACCATGCATTCAAGGGAGGTAGTGTCAGCTCATTTTTTTTTGTTGCCCCGTGCGTTATCGTGCGTTTTTTTCTGTGTGCAATTTCATTTCGCACACGGCCAATCCTTACCACCCGATCTATATAGGTCTGTGCCGTACAGTGCTCCATGCATTCTTTGCTCGAATAGGTCGATTCCTTTTGCACCTCCAGATAGATACCTATATAGAGCTTCCACTAATGGTCGCCAATTCCTGGTTTAAGGTGAGTTCTTTTTCATTGTCCCTAGGGGTCAATCCCCTTCTCGGGGATTTTTCCCAGGTTCCTTAAATCCATGAATGAGTACCTATATATATACTTTTCCAGTCTTTGATACGTCCGGACTGGGCACCTTCCATGGAAGAACCCCTCCCCACTGAAGCACCGAAGACCGCGACCCTCCAGGATAACGGTCAAACACCGAAAACCGTGACCCTGGTGGTGAATGTGGGGAGACCTGCCAAATCGTGCAGAGCTACTCTCTTGGCACAATACATACCTCCCGAAAAAACGGGCATATGGCATATATCACATGGCCATACTCGATGCCAAGCAGAATTCGTGGTGAAGTACGACCAGGGCGCCCTGAGCCCCGACGCATCGGTGCCGTACTCGATCAGGAGATGACCGGCCCCTTTTGGCGTGCGCGGGGCATCATCACCAGCCGAGGCCGTGGCCGTGAGTGGAGCAGCTGGGGACTTGTCCTCGAGCCCCGTTCGTAGCGTGTTTTGCTCCTAGTAGTAAGGCCAGGAGCCCCGTTCGTAGTGTTCTTGCTCCGTTCGTAGCGATGCCCTTTGCTTCTAGAGTAGCTTCTTGCTCCTAGTAGTAAGGCTGCGTTTGTTCTCTTAATTCTAGTGACAGGCTTTGATCTTTCATGCTTGAGAAAGAAAGACCTTCCATGGGACTGGAGACGAGCTTCCATGGGACTGCTGTTGCTCGGTCGGTGGGCTGATGTGGGCTGCTGCACGCAGCATTCGTCCTTTTACCTACATTGCGGTGGTTGATTTCAGGCTATTTGCAGGGGTCCATGGGACGGCATACATTCCAGTTCCCAACCTATAATGTATGCAACAATATTACCTATGTATACCTATTATTTGTTTACTCTCTCCAGAACTTACGAGGAAGTAGTTCTCCTATCCCCTTCCTCGTTTAGCATTTTACTGGAGGGTCTGCATGTTATATGTTGGTGTTGGGTAAGACTTCTTCCTCGTAAGTTTGACACGCTAAACTTGCTAGACTTGCTCGACTTCCTCGTTTGTCAGTGCAAAAACTAGAATGTCCAGAAGCATTTAGCTACCAAAGAAGCCTACCAAAGAAGCCTACCAAAGAAGCCTACCAATTGTGCTGTTATTCTTCCTTGTTAGCTCCCAACCTATGAAAATGTAAAGCAACTCTGGCTTACCTGGAAGTGTATCTCCCTGGTCATTTTCCAGCGTTCCCCGGGGATGCATGGGCGCTCGACTTCCTCGGTAGTGAGCATTGCATTTTCTGGCCTTCTTCGTTTGCTGATTGGGCTTACCTGTCTGTGGTCTATTCCCGGGGGGATTTACATGGTCACCAACTTCCTCGTAAACAGCGTCCTCGCCGAGATTTACTTCCTCGTAAGTTCTGGGGAGTGTAACTTATACATCGGTACATCGACCCTTGAACAGGATTCAATAACCATCCAACCATATCCATACATCTCAAGTACTGTTTGGGCCTTGATTTGGGAGGAGGGCTTTAATCCCTTTCACCTTCCAACGGGTCACCTGGCTGGACAACCCTGCACTACTTCTAGGTTTGCATTGGGGATCCCAATGAATTGGAAGCACGCACGGAATTCTTTTATTTTTCGTGGCGCCTTGGCGAGGCTTTTGGCCGGAGTCACCCAATTTGGCCTGCGAGGCGGCCGGTGGACGTGGAGGAAGGGATTGACGACCCAAAAATGGTGAGAGTACTGAGTACTGCATGGTACTTGGTGGAGTTGTTGGTGTAACTCTCCCAGTTGGGAATATTGAATATCATGTATCCCAGTTTGGGACATGCGAGATCAGTCACTTCGAGATCAGGGACACTTAAAGATTCTTGAACCTCCCTTTCACTTTTTGCACATGATCATCAATTGAACGTTCGGAGCAAGCCGGCCGTTCCTGTCCATGAAAAGCCCGCCATGAACTGGGCAGCGTTTTCGTGGCCGGCCACGTCTACCTGGTCTACCGGCTCAGTTCCACCCCCTCACCGCTCAGATGGAGCGCCGCGTGGTGGCCGACGTGGCCCGCAAGAAGGCCACACGCCTCACCGGCGTGTTGTCCGGGCGCCCCGGAGACGGCGAAGCAAAGGATGGACTTCAGGTTTTACCGCTTATGAGGATGCAGTTGTGGGGGGGTTGGTTGGTGAGGATGCAAGGTTGGAAAGACAGCAACTGAATTCATGGTTCATGCTGCTAATGGTGTTTATAAAGATGGCATCCTGTAGCATTTGTAGCTAGCAAAGGCTAGGAAGGAATTAGCTGCATGTCAGGACCGTGGACCGCGGCTCCAACCGCCTGTGTTCCGCTGTCGCCATCGGTTCAAGCCGCGGATCGCTCCGGTTCGCGCGACGAATCGCCGCCATGATCAAGCTTCGTGTGGAAGCGCCCTGGAAGCCGGAAGAGCTTCCGCACGAGACAGAGGACGAGGGGCCGCGGCCCGCGGACGTGCACGGGGATGTCGGGCGACCGGCGGATGGCCCGGGTGGGTGTGAGGAAGCACCTCATGATGAGCAAGCACCCATTTTTCGTGGGGTGGAGGTGATTGCTATATGGAATCATGTGTGCGGGTTCTCAGCAGTTGATCCTGTCAAAAAAAAGGTGTTTTTGTTCCTCAAGCTGGTGGGTTCTTGGAGCGAAAGAACATGGACGGTTGTGAAGGAAGGTACATATATACATATGTTCTTTTTTCTGTCTCATGAGGAAGCTGATGGGGCATGGAAAAGGTTGGTGCAGAGATTTCCAAGAGGCCTTCATCGAATCTTGCACCTTTGGGGTTCTCCTCAAAGGATCCATGGGACAGCAACTAATGTAGACTCTGGATTACTAAACCCATGGAAACCCCCATACCCGCACCCTCCAACAGGTCACCACCTGCAAGTCTCCAAAAGCCACCAAAGGAGACCTGTTGGGAAATGGTTGGAGCCCTATAGGGTATATTCAATGAGGTTAATTACAGATGAGAGATCCATGTTTGAATATGTATTAACCTCATTAAAGACTGTTCCTGGTTGATGTCTAACGTTTGAATATGTATTAACGTGGTTAATTAACAACCTCTAAGAGGCTATTTGTAGACACCCCTTGGTGTCGGTCCTGGTACTGTTCCCAAACTGGATCCGGCACCAGTGACCTCTTGGGCCTTGGGCGCCGTGCACGGAGGAGCAGGAACTGGCGGAAATGGTCACATGCGTTAGCAGTGGAGAATTGAAGTGTTCCCTGCAACCTGCAGAGCGGCCTGGTCGAAGCGACGTGGGAATTGGGTGGAATTGGGTGGAAAAGCGAAGAAGAAAAGCCGAGAAAAATGGGATGATCACTATATGAAGTCACTGGTTGTTGGAAGTATTGGTTTGAAATGTTGCTGTCCAAGATGTACTCAGATGAAAACTATCCATCAATGAATCTAAAATGTCCCGGGAAAGAAAAAGTTGCACGTGGGACTCCGGCTGTTTCATCCATGTCCGGGATTTATTTGCCAACGAATGGCACTCCTCACAAAGATGGAAGTGGACGGCCCTGGGGTAGCCGGGTAGCTGCTGTCATGTGTTTTTTGTTTTTGCTAGGGTAGTGTGTAGGAAGCAAAATTGCCCGTGATTTTGTTTGGGTGAACCATGGTGAACATGTGTCGTTTTCTCCTCGTTTCGAACAAGCAAATCCAAGCGTCTATTGCCTTACTTGCCCGTCAATCTCCGCCTACTAGGCTTCCAGACGACGACCTTTGCCCAAGCGACGAGAAAGAGTTACCAGGCTTGTCTGACATGTGCAGCACACGGAGCAGCAGCGAGAGGTGCTTTGGTTAGCAAACGCCGCGACTCAATGGGAGTGTGCCAAAGTGGGAACCAAGCAGTTTTATAACTGCATCATGTATCATTTATAATTTATACCCATTTATACTGTACTTGTAACTTATCACCCAAATCCCTCCCCTTCCACTCTTTTTCACTCAGACTTACTCGGACGATGGTGGACATTGCTGTAGCAGTGTGTGTAGAGACAGAACAGCTCTCCATGTGTGTTTGAGTGGGAAGGGCTGGGTATGACCCACTCCATGTTTCGGGAACGGCTCGAAGGGTACTTTTGAGGCTCAGAGCGTTGGTTCAGAAAAGGGGTCCTGGTGGTTTGTGGGGTGGGGTGGTTTGTTGGATTTTGGGGGGTTTGCCAGGGTGTTTTTCAGGCTCCGAACATGATCACCCAAGCTCTGACCGCTCACTTTCGTTCCCCCTGGCCCACGGATTCTGGAATTGATTGGGGCGTGGATGCGATTCAGAACATGTGTCCGTAAAAGGAAAGGAACATCTTCATCCAACACCCCAAAGACATCCTTCCCAACAGATCCAAGCACCCAAACACTTGGCAAAGCACCCAAACACGGGGGGGGCAGCATGTCCGGCAAAGGCCATCCGCATCCATCCGAGCTATTTGAGGTCGCTGCCTTTCCGGAACTCCTTCGCTTCCCGAACGGCCTCTCGGCGGCGGTTGACCCCACCCAGTTCGAGTTCGGCGAGTTCACGGGTGGGGGAGTTCTCCTGTCTCAACGGGACGGTTTTAAGGGGATTTGGATCAGAGAGATGTTTGTTCTCACGAAGCAGGCTTCACCAATCTAAAGAATCATAATCAGATTTGCAGGTGTTGTTTCTTTAAAATAAAGGGTCAATGGTATGTGGGATGCATGCGGTATGACAGGAACTCATGCGATTTGAATGATGATGAATGCTGCTGTGTTGCAATGCCCACTCGATTGATTTTTGCACGGTCATTTTAGACATGTTCATTTGATCCACTTGTACAACAGAAAACATATATATATATAATATAGATAGATAGCATTGCATAACATTGTAACAAGCGCTCATTCATCTCTTGTGTTTTTTCAACTGAGATGATGACATCTGACATGATGACTGATGACTGACTGATGACTTTGTTTGGCAGGCTGGTCTCATCTTGGTTTCTGCCTTGTTTCTTTTCTCTCACTTTTCTACGCATCCTTGTGCAAAGGGAGTCACCGGTGGGTCTTAGTACCTGAGTACCCTCGTCACCTGAAATGGCCATCCAGACCAAGCAAAGTCAAATGTGCCTACACATGTCCAGTGAGCTAGGTTGAGCTCCACATCTCACCTCCTAGTTGATGCAAAACTTTGGACGAGGCCTGCACAGACCACAGGCGATCACATGTCCTGCATATTAGCACATCTCCTTCTCAGGTGGCCTGTTCACTACTGGACCGGTGTAAGGACAATCGGGGGTCACCTCCTTCCACGATTGACGAAAGTTCACGTACTTTTTGCAATGTGCACATTTCACTGTCCATTTTTGGGCGTGCCATTTATGTCCGGTCCACACGAATTCAGGATCATTAGCTAATGCCCTCAAAAAATCCGCCAGAGTGCGCCCTCCGGGCACTTTTAGGAAGGGCCATGACAAGTTTGAGGGGTTTCATGGTTTGGCCACCAGGGCACGCGCTCAACGGAGCAGCCACACGGACAGTGACAAATTCAAAAAATTGTTTTGCAAAAGCGTCACACCTCACAAGCGCCTGAAACATAGGTTCCTGCCTGCGATGACTCCACCTCCAAACAATCCGTATGAATGTTTCCGCGGGTGCTTTTCAGACTAACACTCCCAGAGTTGAACACTTGCTTTCTCGTTTTCATCGAATGCAGCGCAGCTCTGGTGGTCATCGCACCGTTGTCATAGGAACAAGCAGGGTTCTTTTAAACAAACAGTTTGCAAGCGATCATGGACGTCTCAGCCTGAGTCACCGCACGGGTACAATAAATTTCCTAGTTCTTTCCAAACTTTTCGAAATCCATTTTCCTGGACCCTCCAAAGGGTGTCCAATGGACTACCCCACACTACCTATAGGCTTCCATTGGGCACCCCTTGGAGGGTCCTGGTTGGTTGACAACCAATCCAGATCCTAAAATGAAGTTCGCCGATGGGACTAGGGCTTGAGAATGCTTTAGGAGGGTTCCGCTGTGGAAAAGGTAAGGAAGGTGACCGCCCCTCCTTGGCTGGAAGAGGATGGACATGGATGGACCCTAGACGTTGGAAGGGTGACAAGGTAGAGACTATAAACAAACCCTTTAGGCCTCCAAGTACCCTCTGAGGTTCGGTGGGACTGGGGTGGGTGCCGGGAGGGTCCAGTCATCACTTCTGAAAAGGTATGTGGATCCCTAGGGAAAGGGTGTCTCAAAATCAGCGTTGAAGGTTTGTGGACGGCGATGTAAAAGGTGTTGTGACGTGGCCTTCGTGCAGTAACACAGCATAACATAGCTCAATCAATGGATTATCTGCAAAACCTTTCTTTGATCAGGTGCAAGAAGGTCATAGCATGTCATAGCCTTTATTTCAAGTTCCAGGGCCAACGGCTTTGGTTTGTTCAGTTGACTGTTACTGCGGTGGATTCCGCACCGCTGAGGAGTACGCTGATGCCTCGCCCCAGTGCATGTCACCGAATGGGGCCACGCACGAGGACTATGTCAAGAACTTGGAAGACTTCATGGGGATCCTGCAAAACCATGAGCAGGACACGCAGAAACGGACCGAGGGAATCGCGGTGACCATCCGAACCGTGTTTCGTAGACCATCCACAATATTCAATCTTAGCTACATATGCATTTACTTCCCCTAGGGCCCTAGGGCTCCAACCATCTCTTCGAAAGGTGGTTAGGCCCCCGAAATCCACCCCAACTATAGGCTTCCAGGCAGGGCAATTTTTGGAGGGTCCTGGTAGGCAACTATTTTCACACATGGGCCTCTTTGATATGGCAGCTCTAGACGGGTCATGTTTGGGACTGATCCACCTGGCTTTCACCCGCTGGGACGCTGGCGTGCCCAGGCCCGGCAGGAGCTCCAGCGGATCGTCCGAAGGCATCGGGATGAACCGCGCCGTGCTCGGTGCTGGAGGCTTTGGTGACCCACCCTTGGCCGCCCCGAACCCGAGCCGAGCCGAGTCCAGCAGCCGCCCAGTTGGTTCGCAAAAGCACACAAGCAATGGCATTCAATGGCACCCACGGGTTTTTGGAGGAATTCGGAGCGGATTTTGCCTGCTTTGAGGG